AGGAGCCGCGGGGCCCTGGCTCCTCGCCCAGCCCCACGCTCACCCTAAAAATGAAAGTTGTCTCCATCGCGAGCTGCTTCACAACACATTTTTCATTAAAACAAACTATCTCTTCACATAAAAAACCAATGAACATCTTTCTCCTCCTGATCATTGAAGGCCAATTAATTAATTGGGCTTAATTGTATACTACATTTCAAACAATACTGTTGCACTTATTTATCATGTTAATTGCAATGTTAAATAAAAAGACAATAAATTATTACTTAAATCATCAAGATGCCTAACGTGGGATTTGGGACGGGGCAGGCCTGCCTCGTGCCTCCGCACTGCCTGGTTCCACGGGATAAATCAGCGCTCGTCCTGCAAAAGGCAGGGCCGCCGCGAGCACGCCACTGCTGCAGGTAGTGAACCAGGTATTTAAGGATCATGGAAATCTTTCCATTGTGTTTCCAGGTGTTTGCAGCACACAGTTTATGCTCCTTGGCTAACGAAATGGCACAAACTAGAACATTTTCAACGTCAGCGTGGCACAGTTGTGGTACATGATCCAAGCCTAAGGATTTTACACCTAGCACCGATTTAACTAAGCTTGCGTCTTTTTTTTTTCCCCTTGCTTCCCCTCCAAAGCTGAGGGGTAAGAAGCTGCACATGCCCAGCTCTCCCTGCTTGCAGGAACAGACTCAGAAGCAGCAGGAGCAGGAGGGGCGTTGAAAAGCAGCTCCTGCGTTCTTTCTTTAAAAGAATTTTAAATATATCCCCTTGTCAAGCACATCCTTCTTTTGTTTGAAGCAGTGAAAAATTTTATTGCTGTAATCCACTGACATGCTTTCAGCAATGACTATGCCCTTTCTACCGCCCGTATGATAGACTGATCGTTGCTCCTGACACCCTGAAAGAGGCTCATCTGCAAAAGTATAAAACATCAGCCTCGCAGCCATGGCGAGGGGAGAACAGATGATTCAGTTTATCTCCCTCGAACACGTGCTGATCGGGTAGCTCTGAATTACAGCCGACGATGTTCTCCGTTAAGGACATTTTTTTTCCCCTAGAATTACCTTTTCCGTACTCTTAAAAATGAAATTGTGCGAGGTGTTCATCTTAATAAATAGTTTGTCTTTATGCTTTTCTTGAAAAACCTTCTCTACATATTATTTTAAACACCGATATCAAAACTGAAACCATCTATCTCCCATCTGCAACTAAATGATTCTGGGAGACAATTTTCTCTGCAGCTCAGTAAAGTGCTATGGCAGCAAGATTTCCGGTGAGCTGCCTAATCTGGGGGGAGGACGACCCAAAACACTCACTAATTAAGTGTTTGAGGGAGAAAATGTTCTGCCATGAATCTGCCCCCAGCATCTGCAAGGCACTTACGGTACAAGCAAGAAACACCTTGGATCATCATTAGGAGAGGCTACGGGGGAAGCCTGGCTCAGCCAGAACACGGACAAAGGCTCTTCGTCAAACGTGAGCCACAGCTCCAGGAGGCTGGAAAGCCACACGTTAACGTGGTTTGGGTTTGGTTGTTTGTTTTTTTTCTCCATTTTCCAGCTCTTTGCACCTCCGGGGCATTTGCTGCACGGGAGGCAAACAGGGCAGGGTGCCAGGGACTCAGCCAGCGATGGCTGAGGGACTCCTGGCTGAGGCGGGGGCTACGTGCGCTCAAGAGGTTTTTCATAAGAGCCCCGTGCAAGGTGCAGCTCAGGCACTCGCTTGGATGCCATTGCTTATCCCACACGATGCTCCCCCTGCCAGTATTTTAAACGACTGCTCAATTCGCCCCCGATTTCTGGATTGCATCCTCTGACTTCTGCTGCCAGCCACCAGAGCAGTGCGCGCGGGGCTATTTTACAGTGCGTGCTCAGAGCTTTTCTGCTAGGTGGCCCCAAAAATACATACATTTTTCAGTACAAAGACAGACAACTCCAGCCCCGTTTGACCCAGTAAATACCAACTAACCCCGCAGTCCCACCACGCGGCCTTTGGAAGTGCCTTTGAAAATCAAAGATTAGGATATCCGTGGTATTCACATTTTCTAGCGGTGACAGCAGATCTATCAGGAACTTAAGCAACCAGCTGATCGCAGGCACTCCCTCTCCCGCACGCACGCTCCTCTCCCATTAGATGATACATTGCCCCGTTTTCGGGCCTTCCCACCCCCCCAGCGCTTCTCCTAGCCATTTATAACATCTTGCCGGAGCGAAGCCCCGGCCATGCCCCCAGACCCGCACGTCTGGCAGCTGGCGCCCAGGCTGCGTGGTCAGTGCTGCCCTTGCTCCAGGCTGGAAAACGTCAACCTGCAAAGCTCCGGCTGCTGCACGCGGTGCTACGGAGGACGAGGCAGCTACTCCCATCGCTCTCCCGGACCTCCTAATGGATTCCAGAAACAACTAATTCATGCTCGTATCAAATATTAAAGAGACAAACCCATATTCAAGTCACAGGCTCACTGCTGCTGCTACATTTTTGGACCATCTGCCTGCCTTTTCTTTCATTCTACAACATATACATTAAATCTTATCAAACAACCAATTAAGAAAGAAATCAGATCTATTAGCACTAGAAGCAATCAGTTATGGCTTCTCAAACGTTCCATCTCATTTCCTTCCGTCACTTCAGCCTTATCTAGATCCAGCTTCTTATCTGTCCCCTCTGCGGGATCCCTAACTCCTCCTCTGCCAGGCACAGTCCACCCTCCGCTGAGCGGACAGAAAACATCTCTGCAGCAGCTCTGTTGTGCTCTCTACCACGCAATCTCTCCCAATTACATTCTGCCAGCAGAGCCAAAGAACTTTTGGGTACTCCAAGCTGGTGTTGATGGCACTGCCTCTCCCAGCCACACAGCATGCGGGAAGATTCTTGGACACCGCTTACTGGAGGAGTTGCTATAAACCGTCTTGTGCCAAGAGGACTGAAACCAGCAACAAGATACAGGGCTGCAGCCCAAGATGCCCAGGTACTTGCGTGCTCTTGGGCTGTTTGGCTGGTTCCAGGTACCCACAGCAGCCGCAGGGATGCTGGTGGGCATGGGAGAGCTGCCCAGCAGCCACCACAGCTGCCCCTGTACCCCCGGGGCTGCCATCACTCGCGTGATGCTAATGGTGATGAAGGAGCAATGGGAGAGGGAACGAGTTTGGTGCTGAATTTCCCCCCAAAATTCCTGCTCATCACCCAGCCACTCATAAGGGGACTCACAGAAACTGCCTCCATCTCCATCCTGTACCTTCCCCAGGCACTGGGCACCTGCACCTCCCACCCTGCTCGGAGCACACCAAGGAATGAGCAAGGCCCACGCACGCCTCTGCTGGCCTCTCATGTCACAGGGCAGTTTTGCCAGGGTTTTTACTCAGGGTGCATCCAAAGTCAATCAAGCAATATCAAATTTGGGGGAGCTTGGTGGCCTTTCATTTGCAAGTCTTCAATAGAGTGCCTGAATTTTTCATGCATTCAATGGAGACCTATAAAGTAAATCTCAACTCAGGTCTTAATTATAAAGCTAAAGGTTGCATTGCTAATAATGCCAATACTGCAGCCTGCAATCATTAATAGTTAACACATTTGCCGCAGGCATTGTTCCTCTAAAGGACCTGAAATATTGATAAGCGGGGCGGGAGGAGCCGGGAGGAGCTGGCACACCGGCCCTCGCAGTGCGCGGCGGCGCGGCTGGAGAGCTCGGCAACGGCTGGGGAGCTTTCCCTGCCACCCACACGCAACCTTCCCCAAGCTGCACAGGCCAGGCTCGTTCGGGTTTCTATCAAACACACAGGCCACAAGAAAGGCAAGGTGTTATTTTACTTTTTAAGCTACCTGGAGAAGGGAAGGCGAGGGAAAGCGCGATGGAGCGGTGCCATCGGCCTGAATGTTGCTGCGAGACACCAGTCCAGAGCTGCAAACGTCCTTGGCCTGTACGGGAAGCGGCCGCAGCCGAACAAGAGTGCGCGTTCCTGATTAAGGGAGGTGCTGGTGTTCTTGCATCTGTTACACGTGATAAAAGGAGCAGATCTGCTCAATGCCCTTTGGCATTGAAACCACTCAGGTCCAGTGCATCAAGAGGCTGAATTTCTGGCTGGCTTAGAAAAATAGCTTCAAGCAATCAAAGAAATTCTGATCTATAGAGATAGATTATATGTTTGTCACTAAACTGGCCTTCCCCCAAAATAATGGTAAACTGAAATAAATTCATCACAGACCGTAAGGCTCAGCCAGGAATCTTACTGACCGCGCAGAGAAAGCCAACATAAAGCAGGGTGCCAGCCTTAGAGCCTTTTCATTTCTATCTTCATCTTTCTACGCACGCTCTTCTTACCCCAGCACAACCCCGGCCACCCGCCCGCCCGCCGCCTCTTCTGCGCGGCTTAGTCACGT